AGGTGCTACTTAAAGTAATTATTTGTTTTTTATTTATGGAGGATTCAAGCATTTGAGAGCTAGATTACCTTAAGCAGCATGGTTTGGGATGACTGGCAAACACATTTACTTAGACATGAACTTTCATTTTTATGAAGGAAAAGCTAAGATAGTGTTGCTGACAAACTAAAGTTTTATTGCTAAATGAATGAGATGTGTATAACCAAACATGCTGTATAGCATTATCTGGTTATGGCTAATAGTTTTATTTAAGTTGGTATGATTCAAACAGTTCTACTGAGCTTTCTGAAATTGGTTTTCAAAGTATTTTAGAGCTCGGCTCCGGCACTATTGGTGTACAAGGATTTCAACTGAAATAAGTTACAAAACTGTTTGTTACTTTAGGAGAGAAACTAGGAAGTCTGTACTTCCATTTGGTTTTTTAAGTGGGGGTTAGTTATAGAGTTAGAAACATCTAGCTGGTCCTGTACTATACTCTTTTTTTTTTTTTTCTCTTCTTCCATAATTCTAGACAGGTTAATTTTTAGGAAAATACAGCTAATCTTGAGCAAACCTTTTAAAATATATATTACATCTGCAGTAAGTAAGGTGTATACCATGATTGGGGGAAATCCGTGGCAGCTACTTGAACAGTATGGTGTCTTATAACAATATGGTTCTGAGGTTGAATCTATACTATGCTCTTTTTTTTTCCCCTCCCCTCATGCTGTTCATCATGGGACTTCTAATTTAAATCAGCTGCCAGTTTCTTCCCTGTTTTTTGGATTCTGAAATAAGTGTCTGCATGTGGGCTTGCACTAAAATTACTGATAATATTTATTTTGGTCTCGGTGTGTAGAGTTTCAGTTCAGAGTAAATGCGAAGAGATGATCATTTGAAATGATCAGATAGTATACACATTTTTTCTCTTTCTGTTGAAAATTTCCTAGAGGAAATAATGGCAGGCAAGTCAGGGTTTGGGGTTTTTTGGTGGGGGAAGAAGGGAAGGGGAGACCTGTGAAATATCTAAAAGTGTGCTGTGCTTTTACAGTGTCGTATCTAGGTTTTAAAGCTTCAGCGATCACTCTGAATATTTGCACCAGTTTGGATTAAAGTTTAATTGTTAATCTGACTGTTTATTGGCGTGTTGGTTTTTAATCCTGCCATCTTGTGGCTGTAGTACCACACTGTTGGCAAACTTGAGTTTGCTGTCATTTTAGTCGCTTGCTGACAAAGCTGGGCTACAATTAGATGTGCTCTTCTGTTAATCTGAGAGCACACTTATCGTTTCCTCCAGCTAGACTATTTGTGTGATTATAGTGAATAAGCCTTGACCCCTGTTCTTACTGCCAAGATTAATATTCTTAATGAGAGAGACAACAGATGCCCTTTTTATGGGATATGAAAGATGGCTTTTCTCTCTGCTTGTTTGCTTAAATATCAAATGTCAAGTGTGTTTGCTTTTTTCTGTTTTCTTTTTGGAGTAGCCTTCTGGGTTTTTAAGAGTTCTAGCACCTTTTAAAGGACTCTTCAATATAGAAAACCTACTAAACACAAGAAAAGTGAAGTTAACTTTAAAATTGTGCCTTGGAATCCTTTTTCTTTATTTTTAAGGGCCAAATGATTTAAGGCAATGTCATTATTTTAAAAATTCAGATTTTGTCCTCTCTAAAAGACCAGAGTGGGCAAAGCAGAAAAAATAGGCAAATGGAAGCTCCCCAGGTATTTTCAGTCTATCTTTAATGTAATGACTTGGCCAGTTCTAAATTTTACAACGTGGCTTGTGCATGGTGCTGCCCTAGAGTTGCTGCTTAGTTCTTAAAAAGGCTTTGGATATAGCTGACTGGGGGGAGGGAGATGATGTTTGACAGCTGTATCTTAAAACTTGCTAATCTTGCTTATAATTTTAATAAGTCAGTTGCAAATGATGTCTAAACCTAAGCCTTAAAGGGTATAGTAGTGTTGATTTTAATTGTTCTGTAGTTTTTGTTGTTGTTTCTGTTGTTGTTGTGTACCCTTTTCTTTTATCTAGTAGATAAAAGCTTGCACAAGAGCGTTGGGTAATAGCTATGCTTCAACCAGGACTGGAAAAAATTGTCTTCATGGCCATTTTAGAAACAATAACTGGTTGTCTTTCTAATTTTAAGAAAATTGGTATCTGTAATTCCTCAGCTACAGTTTCTTCAGGTGGTGTAGTAACAATACAGGCAGTAGTTTAGGGAAGACTGTTGGGTATCTTTACTCTTGTTCTAAACATGTTTAGATGCCATGTTTGTTCAACTTTCCTGTCCAGGCTATAGCTTCCATTTATGGGGACCTCATGAGTAATTAGTCAAAAAACAATTTCCATCAATAAGTTGGTCTCCCTTTTGGAGTCAGGACAGTGGGTCAAGGGAGTTATTTTACTTCCTGTTGCCACAATGAAGTGTCTACAGTAGGGGTGGGCAATTATTTTGGCTGGAGCGCCGCTTAACAAGTTTTGGTGAGCTGTTGAGGGCTGCAAGAATAGCCCCACCCCTTGACAAGTGCCCTGATCCCTATCTTGGGACCAGAAGTCCCACCCCCTAGCCTCCGATCTTAGCCACCAGAAGTCCATCCCTTTGCCCCCAGAACCACTCCTCTTGGGAAGGGGGTTTGCTGTCTTGGAACCAGAAAAAAAACAAATGTATATACTAAAAACCAAACATTGACAATGTTTTAATTTTTATTTAAAAAAAATTTTTGTCCTGATTTGTGTGCGTTTGTATGGTGTGTGTATATATACAGGTGATTGCGTAATAGGTCAGAATGAAGCCTTATTTTTAATATTATGGAGGGGTGTGGGGCTCTACCCAGAGGCACATGGGGGTGGTTATGGGTGCACTGATACGTCAGTTCAATATTGGATTGGTACTGACATAAATACAACTTAATATATCAGAAATTAGCCATATCAGGCCAATAATGTGGCCAATAAATAAATGGTCTGTGCATGTACACAACCGCAGCGCAGCATAGGCGGTGAGGAGCACAGCTCGGCAGCGTAGAGAGGTGTCTCCAGCTGGTGAGTTTGGTGTGGTGGGAGGGAAGGGCTGTGTGGTGGACAGATCAAGATTCCCAGAGCTGGGGCAGGGACTGCCCAGCTGGGGCAGGGTGGGCTGGTCCAGTATTGTGGCTTATCAAAGTTGGGGGAGGAGTGGCTCCCACCATGGCCAGGAGCCTCTGGTCCAGTGGCTTGTCCAGTGCTTGCCTGCTCACTTGGTGGCTCGTACTGCTGCTTCTGCTGCTTGTTGGGGGGGGGGGGG